GGACCAGGCGGGTCTGCAGCACGGCAGCGGGTCCAGGCCACGCAGGTCTGCAGCACGGCAGTGGCTTTGGTGAAATTCCAGAGGACTGCAGGCAGGCTGAAGCAGTCCCAGTAGGGAGAGCCCAGGGTTTGGGTGCTCCACCACAGTGGGTGATGACGGAGTCATGGAAGTTAGTTTTCAAAGCACAAAGGGCGGCTGATACCTTGGGAGTGAAGGGTCTGACCAGCGGCCACTCACATCACCACAGTGTAGGGTCGCTGAAATGCAGGGACATGTAGAAACTGGATGGAGCAGAGACACATGGAAACACCACCCCAGGAAGATGCACAGACACCCCCGAAAAGGGAGGGGCCGTCTCAGCTCTAGGCACTCAGTCAAAGCGTTTAAGTTGGACATTCAGTGTTGTGAGAACGTTCAGAGGTGTGATATTCACCGTCCCTTACCCAAAACCTGAATGTGGCGCGTGGACACGTGAGGACACTGGCCCTGACTGCACGTGGGGGACCATGTGTAAGCAGAGGACAGTATTCATGAGGACAGGGCACAGGTGTCCACGTCTCCAATCACGAGTTGGTCGTGAAGACAGGCGGGCAGGGCAGGGAGGGGAGACTGCAGCACAGTACCACGGGGCCCTCACCGAGAAGACCCCGCCCACCAGGGGATGCCAGCACCGCACCTGGAGGCCTTGCCCTGGACCAAGCCCATCGGCACCCAGACTCATCCCTCTCCGCCCATTCAGCGTCCAGCTCATCCTCGGCCACCCAACTGCCCACCTGCCCCCACAACCAGACTCTAGTTCTGCATGTTCTAGGACCTAAACCACTGCTGATTCCAGTGACCCCGAGGACCAGAAAGAACCGCCGCACAGGCTCCCAAGGCTGTCCTCTTCACAAAAACGACACAGTCTCATTCTTCTCTCCGGTCAGGCTGGTGGGTTCGAACCACTGATCTTGTGTTGAGCAGCTGTGTGCTTTAGCTGCTCGTTTCTTTAGCACCAAGATTAGTAAATGATTTCACGAAGGCACGGCTGTGAGGTAAAACTGAACAAAGCCCATTCTCGGGCCTCCCGAGCTGCTGTGTCGTCTACTTCACCGACATCCTGTGGGGTTTTCCTGGGCCCGGCTCCTTGGCCGCAGGGGCAGAGACAGGCCGACTGGCCGCTGCAACCACGGCTCCTCGTGCCCCTTGCTTCCCAGGGCCCTTGGCAGGCTCAGCACCAGAAGCAGGAACGACTGCAAAGACCAGAAAGAGGTGAGCGTTCTCAACACACTCCTGTCTCCCTTTGTACTGTGAGCATCCGTGCAACTAAGCAGAGCTCAGTGGAGACGCCAAGACCCTGGACTTAGAGAGCTTCTGGGTGAGATGGAAAGCATCACCAGAAAGCAGCAAGTCACTCCTTCGTGATTCAGAGTCACTCCCTGGAGGACTAGCTGAACGCCGTGTGAGACTAGACATGGCTGTGGTCATTATGTACCCTTAAGTCAGAACCGACTCACAGCTGTCCCTCCAACCAGTTCAGACGCAGTTAACCAAGTGGGAGGGGACTGCTCACCCTTCTCCCACGGAGCACCTGCTGGGTTTGAACTGTATGCCTTTGGGTTGGGGGTGCAACTCTTGACCACCAAGCCACCAGAGCTCCTCCAAGACGTGTGAGGAGGAAGATTAGGGAACTCTGGTGGCCTAATGGCAGGATGCTGCACTGCAATCCCAGAGGAGCGTGGTTCAAATCCACCAGATGCTCTGCTGGAGAAGGAGAGATAATCTCTTCCTGTATCAATCAGATCAATTTGACGGTACACACACACACATAGTAAATTTAAAAAAGACTTGTAAGGAGGAAGAAAGGCCTGGTGGTCAGCTTGTGAAAACTGAGAACACCACTCCGCTACACGGAGGGCTGCCAAAGTTGAATCGTGACTCTCCTAGACTGTAAGCTTTCCAAAGGCCAAGGCAGCAGCGCACACGGGAACCACTTCCTCCTGCCCACGCTCCCAGAAGCCAGAGTTGGCCCTGTCCCCACCGGGCATGGCTGAGGGCTCCGCCCGCATCTCTGCCAGGCTGTCACCTGGACTCCCCGCCAGGCTCCCACCTGGACTCCCCGCCAGGCTCTCACCTGGACTCCCCAGCATTCGGTGCAGCGTCATGTGCTTGTAGGCAGCGATGATCTGGAAATGGATGGTGCTCCCGAGGCTCAGGCCCTGGTCCTCGACCACCTTGAGGGCGGCGTCCTGGATGAGCTGGTGGGACCGTCTGCAGTTGGGGAGCTTGCACTCCCCGCGGACAAAGGACCTGCACACGTGGAACTTGGTGCACTTGTCCCTGAGGGGGCAGTAGCCGTAAAGCGCGTCCCCTCGGTTGTAGAGTAAGCAGACCTGGCAGGGTGAGGCGGGCTCGGTTTCAATCCTCTGCTTCTGGGCTTTTAAATTGGTTTGCACATAATAATTCATATACATTGTGTTCCATTCACACAGGTCTATTTTATACAATCTTTCGTTTACTTTGTATTTCACACAGTCATTCATATATACTGCATTTTATATGACTCATTACTGTTGATCTGTGGCTATTATGACCCTGAGTCTCCACTGAAAATCCTATTCTTTCCTACACACACTCCCTCCCATCACCCCTAACTCTGACATCCCAGGGATTTCCACCCTCCCCTTTTCTCCCTCCCCCTGCCCTGTTTATACACATCTCACCAGTTATCATTCTATATTTATATTAACGGTCTTATGCAGTATTTGTCCTCTGCTCTCTAGACTCTCCCATTTTTCTAAAAATTTTTATTTTATTATTTTATGTGTGTGTGTGTGTGTGTGTGTGCGCGCGCGCGTGCGCACGCGCCGTCAAATTGGATCTGACAGGTACAGGAGGAGACTGCCCTTCCTTCTCCAGCAGAGCATCTGGTGGATTTGAACTGCAATAGACTCTCCCATGTTATATAGTATTTTATGAAAAATATTCTTTTTCACTGGTCTTCACAGCAGGCAGGACAGGCTCAGCTCAGACAGACCTTGGGTTCAGTTAATAAAGGGAGTCAGGCTCATGTTTTTGGCTTTTCCAGAGCTTAGAACGGTTATGCTGACACCAGAGAGTCCCCTACTGGAGGCAGTCCTGGTGGCTTTCACGGTAGGCTCCGTGCTGGGCTGTTAACCAGAAGGCTGGCCTTGGACCCCACCCAGATGCTTCCAGGGCCAAGGTCAAGGTGGTCTCCTCCTGAAAAGACACACATCGAGCCCCAGAACCCGAGGCAGCGTTACTGGGAGTTGGGACTGACTCATGGCAGTGGGTGTGGCTCTCCAGGAAGGGTTCGATACTGGTGCCAAGTGTTGTTTATTTATGTGGTCTTCAGAAAGTGTTCTGAACTTGGAAACGTGGTCAGCTGTCATCAAGTCAGGTCTCACACAGATGGGCATCCTGCCCTCTTCTGCATCGTCCTCCCGATCTCCGCCAGGCTCAGGCCCACGCCTGCGGCCACTGGGTCCACTCACTTCACTGAGTCTTCCTCTCTTTTGCTGACCCTCCATCATCCCCAGCACGCTGCCCTTCTGCGGGGAATGACCCTCCTCATTACATGCCCCAAGTATGCGACATGACGTGTCACCAGCCCTGCTCCAAGGTGTCTGCTGACTGCATGCACGTCCTCTGATAGTACTTCAAATACTGCCAGCATGACCAAGTGCATCACACAAATGGGCACCACTGTTAGGAAAAAAATGCCTTACAGAGGCTGCCGCAAACCTCCCACTGAAAAAAAAATCCACGTATCTGTATCAGCGAAGCACAGTAAAGAGAAATGAAACATAATGAGGTGCACCCTAGACGACGCCTCCTCAGCTGCACTGGCCATCAGAGGGCACCACACTCCTTGAATGGACAGAGGCTGGCAGTGGAACAGCGCTCTTACACTGCCCAACTCATCTACAGGCCAGGACACTGGCTGCAATGACTCCCTGTGACCTTCACACTCGGGCCCCTCAACTGACCACCCAGCGAGGGGCTGCCAGTGAGGCCCCGGCTTGCTGCAAGGCCAGCCAATTCTGCAGAACCACCTCTGCTTCCCTTCCCCTCGGGGACCGCGCCAAGGCCAGCCATCACCTTGCTTACAGCATTTCCCCACCTCTGTCCTGTCCCCTCACTCCCTGGGGAGCCCCTTCTAGCCATGTGCACATGAACGCTACCTTCAGCTCTGCTTCCAGAGAGAGCGAGCCAAGACAGAAAGTGCAAGGGCAAAATGGGGTATTGTTAACAGCTCCATTGGGACTAGGAATGGGGCTCACGCCAGGCAAACCAAGAACCTGCTGCTGTCCGCTCTGACATCACTGGTCACTCTCACATCTCGCTCTCACAATTTTAACTCTCGCGCTCTCGCTCTCTCTCTCTCTCTCTCACACACACACACACACACACACAAACACACTCTGTCTCTCTCTCTGCCTCCCACAAACTGGGTGGTTAGTCACGCTGACCAGGTTCCACATATGAAGAATCCTGGCACTAGTCAGTCCTCGGCCCTGAAGCCCTGACGCCTTCTCGGGACTGTCACAGGACCTCAATTGGCCAGATTTGAGTTATCGATTCAGGTCACAAACATCTGGCTCAAGTCAAACAGCAAACAGACGCCACCTCCTCCAGCCACCCATCACCCAAGTAACAGACAGGCTGGCGCACAAAGCAGAGTGAGGCTGAGGAACATGTTCCTTCTTGTGTAAATGAGAGGAGATCAATGGTCAACGTTTACCCAAAAACAAGGGCGAGGAAGCAGGGGCTCAATGGAAATAGAAAGGAACTGCTGGCACCTCTTAACTGGAGCCAAGGGCATGCAACAGTGTACCAAACTAGTTAAAACCGCCTGAGGTCGTCTGGATTCCAACTCACACACCCTCTGTTAGGTCTCTGGGGCCATAAAGCCTTATGGGAGGAGACTGTGGAACAGCTGGGCAGCTCATTTCAAACACAGCAAAGGGAGAGGTGACAGACAACAGGGGTTTAATGTGATTAATTACATTCATCAACTGGAGTGAATGTCTTAAAGAAAAATATATATGAATGAATGAACGAAAGCCTGTAAGATCTGTAAACTTCCACTCACACAACAGAATTAAAGACAAAAAATAAAAATCCTGAAATGAAAAATACACAAAATAAGAACATGCTGCTTAAAATTGTGATGCTGAGTCTCTAACGCAAACTCATTTTAAAGCAATTCCTAGTTCCTTTAAAAAAATAAACCAACCTAAGCTTTGCTCCGGGATTTAACTGATTCTGAAGTTTATCCAGAAAGGAAGGGAGTGAGAACTGGTTAAGCAAACAAACAACAAACTTAGTAACAAGAAGAATGGACACAGAGAGGGACCACAGACCCCGGGACAGACTTCTCTTCATTGTGTGTGACACAGGAACAAAAACACATCTGCCAGGAAGCCGCTCCCAGGCTCGGCCTCCAGAGAGGAGGCCCTGTTCCCCCACAATCTGACGCAAAGTCCAAGATAAAACCACACACACACACACACACACACACACACACACACACACAAACCCAACCCTCCACACACCAGATGTTTTCTTTAAAGAGGACTTTTAACTCAAGCTCTGGTTTCTGTAAACATCCACATAAGTACCCTAGGGGTGTGTGTCTTCTAGAACCAATCTGGACAAACTGTATTTGCCTAGGAATTTGTCCAGTTCTTCCAAGTTTTCACAAGTATCACCATAAACTTTTATGTACTTGTTCCTTGTTGCTGTTATGTGCTCTTGAGTTGCCTGTGACTCATAGCAACCCTATGCACTTCTCTGAACCCTGCTTTATCCTGAGCCAACAACATTATTGTCTCTGACTCACCTACCTCCATTACCCAGTCACTGAGTCAATCTATCTCGAGGGTCCTCTTCTTTTACGATGTTCCTCCACCCTCCACAGGATCGTGTCCCTTTCCAAGAACTGGTCTCTCCTTGAAACATGCCCAAAGTATGTCAGACAGAGCTTCAGAATCCTCGCTTCTAAGGAATAATCCAGCTTCACCCTCTTCAGGATGAAACTGTTTGTTCTTGCAGTCTGTGGTATATTCAATACTCTTCTCCAGCACCACAGCTCAAAGGCATCAATTCTCCTTTTATCTTCCCTAGTCACTGGCCAGCCTTCTGAAGCATAGCATGTAATTGAGAAGACTATGGCCTGGATCAGGTGCACCTCAGTCTCTAGACTGACATCGTTGCTCTTCAGTATTCTGGAGAGGTCCCTGACAGCAGATTGTCTGAATATAATTAGTCTTTTGATTTCCTGGCTGCTGGTACCAAGAATGTTGGTGTTGACAGTGGAACCAAGCAAACTGAAGCTGTTAACAATCTCTATCTCTTCACTGTCTATCATAATCGGCCCGGTGGTGAGAATCTTCGTTTTCTTGGTGTTCAGCTTCAACTCATATTGAAGGCGCCAGTTCTGGACTAGACTCTATGCAGCAACTGCTTCAAGTCCTCTGCAGTTTCAGCAAGTCAGGTTGTTCTTCAGTCTTCCTCCAATCCCGATGCCACATTGTATCCTCACAAAGCCCACCCTCCCGGATGACCTGTTCCATACACTGAGATAGGGCCTATCCCTGGTGTACACCCTTCCTCTTCTTTATTATGGGCCATTTCTGTAATTATCCCATTTTTCTTCCTAGTAGTTACTTGTTCTACTCCTTCACCCTTTCCCCCTTCCTCAGCTGCAGGGCAACGAATCTGACCTGTGTTGGTGAAACTGAGTACACCATGGTCTGCCAAAAGACTAAACGAAGTAGTCTTGGAGGAAACGCAGCCAGAGAGCTTCTAAGGATAGAGGGTCACGCTTCCGCATGCTGTGAGCCAGTCTCAAGGACCTCGTGCTCAGAAAAGTGGAGTATGGGTAGAAAAAGACCAAGGCTTTGCTGAGATGGACTGACCCAGTAACCACAGACACCTCAGTTAAGAGGCTGGTGCAGAACTACCGTGCCACAGCCTGGTACTTACAGAATCACTGTGGGGAAATGTGGACTTAGGTGCTGGTGGCCCACTCAGGGGACTGGCCAGCCTGCTAATAACACAAACAATGTGCGTGGAACTCAGCTGGGGCTATGTGAGTACGGCGTATGGACCGGTCAGCTCTGCCACCCCACTGGGCTTCAAATGGACCAATCCCAAGTATGGCAGCTTCCGCTCCTCCTGTCCCCTGGGCCTGCTGCTCCACAGGGTTTAGCCAACCCCACTCCTGGTTCATGTCCTACACTACTGGACCTGAAGGGCTTACTGCCATCACCCCTGCTGGGGCGAAGAAATGCTCAAATGTAAGGACCTCAAAGTGTGACAATATATTTGTAAAGATCCAAAAAGAAATGGTGCCACACAAGAAGCAGTTAACTGTACAAACTACACAGCTCAAGTTCTGAGTTTTCCAGCACCCAACATAAACTGCAATGTGACACATTTTACTGGAAACAGATGCTGCCCTGGACGTGCTCACCAAGTTGTGTCATGAAATCTGGAGAAGAACCACTTGGCCAACTGACTGGAAGAGATCTGTATTTGTTCCCATTCCAAAGAAAGGTGACCCAACTG